AGCTCAACTTTTTTTTATATATAAAAAAGGTAACAAATAAATAGATAAATCAACATTTAGGAAGATCATATTTCCGTGAGCTAATTTTGTCACCCTTAATAAATATACTTTCACCCAAAATCAAGTATATGGACTGTTGAAGCTGAAAAAAGTTATAATTCAATGTCCTAATAGCCTTAAATATTAGTTTAGGGACTACATTAAACTTTATAAAGAGTTTTGGGACTTAAGTGACCATCTTTCTCGTCCAAAATATATTTCTTCTTCTTCAAGGCTCAAGCACAAGAAAAGTATCAGTGGAGGAACAAGCTATTTCTGCAAATCCTCTTTGCTGCTGAAACTTTGCATCTTCATCTTCAACCTCTCGATCGTATGTAAAATTTGATCTCTTATGCAATCGTAGATATAAATTGTCACAATGTTTTTTATTTTTCGCTTTAATTTACTTAGGTTTTATGCTTTTTTCCTTACTATTAAAATTATTCCTGTGTTATTTGATGCTTTTTTGGTTACTTTTTTATGTATTGAATAAAGAGATTGTGCACATTTTCTGATTAAATACGTGAATATTTCAATTTTTTGTTATACGAATCAGATATGAGAGAGATTAATCCGGGAGCAGCATACTTCGTTAGATCCCTGCAGCATTGTTAAAATTTAGCGATGAATATTAGTTTTAATGAAGTAGAAAAGAAGTGGAATATTTATTGGTGTTCAGTGAAGTTCTGGATATCGATTTTCGGTCTATTTACCTTTTGGTGAATTAGTTAATCATGGTTTAAAATAGTGAATTTGCAGTTTCAGTAATGATGTTAGTTAAGCTAGTGATTCTACTGTCTGACTTATACTGTTTTTGCTCGGAACGTTATCATTTTACAGGTTTTCAACTGAAAATTAGTCCTTAAGGCAATGGGTGATAGTCAGTATTCTTTCTCACTTACAACTTTCAGGTATAGGTTTATGAGATAGAACTTGTATGTATTGGATCAATTATATAGTTTCTACTCAATTTTGATGTCTGATATTGTAATATGCCGTGGCATAGTCCATCTGGAAAGCTGGTTCAGATTGAGCATGCATTGACTGCTGTTGGATCTGGCCAAACATCATTGGGAATTAAAGGTAACTCAAGGTCTAATTTAAATGCAAAGTTATTGATATGGCAATAGCGTTAACATATGTCTGCGATTATGTTCTATTCAGCATGTTCACTTGCTTTGTATTATAAAAAAGGTTATCGTAGAGAATGCCGAACAAGTTAACTCTGAAATATTTGAAACCGAATCTTGTAACATCGTTTTACTTCTAGTTGTTGATTTAAATGCTTTTGGCTCTGTAACATAGATGACTTGCATCCCCATACTGGGATTTTTAATTTAGTGAAGACTGAAGAATGTAGTTGTGACTTTATAAGCCAATAATACTATAATAGGATACACATGTCCTTCAGGTATTGTGGTGTGATTCTACTTCTCATTTAAGAGTTCCTTCTGGAGAAGTTTCAAGCTTTTGTTTTCCTAGCTCGATTAATAGTTGTGAAGTTCTTGTAGTGATTTTATATATCCAACTGTTTGATTGCAGCTTCTAATGGTGTTGTAATTGCTACCGAGAAGAAATTACCATCTATCTTAGTTGATGAAGCATCTGTAAGTATATCCCGTAAAGTTTATCCTCTGTTGTCTATTTATGATAATGAATGTTCCTTGTATATTATAGTTGCCAGACTGACTGTTGATAGCTAATCAAATATAGTAGTGCTCTTATTTTTCTCTCTAAAGTTGATTCTAGTGATTTATTTTTATACTCTTAACTTTTTGTTGATAAAAATTTCCAATGACTGTGTTGGTGTGAGTAGTAGTTTGCAGTTTAGTAATAAGTTAGGCATAAGAGAAGATATCTTCTTTTTAGTTCAATCTATGAGTACCTGGTCTGATATCCAATTGAGCTTCATCAAGATTGAAACAAATGATGATTTTTTATTAAGTTTAGATAATTAGTCTGTTTGAATTTGCGTATGCATTGAAAATATATAAATTTTAGTAATGTTTACTTTACTGCTCTGTAGAGTTATATTCTAAATTATATTCACAAAAGCAGTTAGCCAGTTACCAGGTTACAACATACCAACAAGTGCATTCATGTTTGTAGTCTTTGGTGTTAAATTCGTATATTCTGTGGTTCGGTGATATTTATTTCTACCTATCACGTCTTGGAACTGCATGGGCATTCCAAGTGCCTTTTTGTTTTTGCTTTACATTCCTTAACCTTTGCCATGTTGCGTCTTCCTTTTAGTTTACCCTTCTACACCTGATTCTTTGAATGTATAACAGGTGCAGAAAATTCAGACTTTGACATCAAATATTGGAGTTGTGTACAGGTACAATCTGTTATATGATAGAGCACAAAAAATTTCCTATGCCCATGGTGCTTTGTCCATAGTTGAATTGACAAATCGATTGGCGATTTGCCTTGCTTAGCTAGTTGCTATTCATTAGAACTTGAAACTAACAACTTGTTATACGTGGAAGGATGGTACCTATGAAAGCTGATATGGTTCTACTTCTGTTCCAAATTATCTTACAATATCCGTAAAGCATCAATATATGCCTTGCAAATGGTCTTAGTTCTCTGATATATCCTTCCACGGGGTGTTTTTATATGTTCTTGTGGTTACTGCATTACCTCTGGTGATCTCTCTAATACCAAAATTTACTCCTTGCAGTGGCATGGGTCCTGATTCTCGAGTTTTGGTTCGGAAAAGTAGGAAGTCAGCTGAGCAATATTACCGACTCTATAAAGTATGAATTAGCTTTCATCAAATCTCAATTCTATGATTCAAGTGCAGTATTTCCTTAATGATTCAAGTGTAATGTTACCACTCTGCCGGGTGATATTTGTACAATTGATATAACTGTCCTACTATTTTGCAATTTAAGATGCTTCTTCTTTGTATTGATGCTAACATATAAAGTTGCTGTCTAATCTTGCTCTTGCTATACGGAGGCAGAGGTTTTCTATTGGAGCTCCCTTTTCCTCTAACCTGCATTGTTTGTTTCACACTAGTGCTTTAATGTGATGTTGCTTTAGCATACTTTATTCCTTCTACATTTGCCTGATTTATCTATGTGGTGCATAGGAACCAATCCCTGTCACTCAACTGGTGAGGGAAACTGCTGCTGTCATGCAGGAATTCACCCAATCAGGGTAAGCACTCTTTTATTCCATACTTCCACTTCACTTGGAGGATCCTATAATATGTGCTGATCATATTTTAAATATCGAGAAACATGGTCAATAAGCATTCGTATTGTCAATCCCAACTTGTTTGGACCTGAGGTCTAGTTTTTGTTGTTGGATACCAATAGTTATCACTGACTAAACAATTCTATTTGTTACTCATTATTCATTAACAATATTTTAAGATTAATAACGTTCCTCTCTTTGCATTGTTATTTCTTACCTAGGTTTAGTAGGTGGATTTTTGAGTTTGGGTTAATTTCTAAAGGAATCGTTGTTGGATTACTGGGGCTGCACAAGCCTCCTTTATATAGGATGGAAGCAATGTGCACTACAGTTGTTGTAGTCATTTCTAATTTTTAGCTACTCTCCGGAAGCATTTCTGGAAGTGGAGGTTAAACTTGGCCTCTAAACTTTTTGGTTCTCTTGGATGTGCTCTCTTTTCATGTTAGAATATGAATTAATTGTTCTGTTGACGAAGATCAACACTTATGATTCATCAGACTATCAACTGTAGGGCAGGCAAAGCCATATCTTTCTTGAAACTAATCCAGATGCTCATCTGTATCTATGTGTGATTTTCTTTTGGATGTTCAAGAAAGAGGTCATTTTTAGTCTTCTTGGGCAATCCCTTACTTTTGTTTTTCTGTTTTCTCCGGTACAGTGGTGTAAGACCATTTGGTGTTTCACTCTTGGTTGCGGGTTTTGATGACAAGGGTCCACAACTATATCAGGTATGTTGTCTATCAGTGCTGGTGATCTCTCTGGTCACTTTCTGTTCTTGAGGTGTCTAATTTGGTGATCTATACTTCATGAGGTGAATTTACATAATTTGTATTGATTTTCTTCATGGTGTTTCACTTGTGGGAGCTTTTATTCTTTGTAAATTTTGTTTAATGAGCTGCAGCCTGCAGGTTCCTTTGTTGCTTGAACTCTTTTCATGTTCAGCTGTTTTTTTCTCATTTTAGGTTGATCCATCTGGTTCGTACTTCTCTTGGAAGGCTTCAGCAATGGGAAAGAATGTCTCTAATGCCAAGACATTTCTCGAGAAGAGGTGAATCCTTATTCATTTAAAAAAAGTTGATCGTTTATTCATAAAAATATTTAACCTCCTTTTTCTTCTTTTTAAATGCTATATTTTTACATTTACTGGTCTACAATCGAAGTTACTGTCTGATTTTATGTAACAATTACCAGTTTTAGAAAACTCATCTTAACCAGCTACCTCATGAGTTTGTAGCCCTAATAGTTTTGGTTAAACAAGAACAATAATCTCTCCTCAATAACCCACAGCTGTCTAATTCTTCATCCATTGATGGACTGTCTTGATCTTTTACTGTGCACCATCTTTATATCAACCTGCTACTGCTTCTTGCACTTCCTCTACTTTTACCAAAAGTTGCAAAAAGTAGTTGGAACAGCTTTTATGCAAGGGAGACATTGTTCACTTTGTGAGTGTGTCAATGATTTGCATCTGTTCTATTCTATTACTCTGGATGTGCTAAGGGTTATTACGCGAACCGAGTTGTAATTTATTAGCCTCATGGCATCAGAAGATGGGAGGGGGTGAAAAGGGAGGAAATCTATAAAGGTATGGGTTTTATTGCATTTCTACAAATGTGCTAGGAAGAGAATTGTTGGTAATGTACAATTGATTTGCTTGAAACAAGTAGCCAGCAGAGGGCTTCTGCCCATACTGCTTTGTGACATCAGTTGGTGCTGGCGATTGGAGTTGTAGGTCAAACTTTGACATACCTTTGAAGGATGTTAACCATTTTTCTGTCCCACAATGTCAAATGTTGTCTGCATGTTGGAACATTGTCTCATTGGCCAACTACCAAGCCTATTAATTTGGGGTGCTTTTCAACCCGTTTGATTACTGGTGAAGTATTATTAAAGTAAAACATAACGTTCCTGTTCCACTCAGATACACGGAGGAAATGGAGCTCGATGATGCTGTACACACTGCTATCCTGACATTGAAGGAGGGGTAAGATTAATTTATTCCTATATGCAGGAGCTGTCTGTTCTATATGAAAATATCCCCTTTGATGGGACGTGTTTTTTCAACCCTCTAGATGATTTTGGTGTCCTCTATATTCACATAATGTTTGTTGGCACCACAAAAAAAAAAGGATTTAAATCTTGTTCGTCATGTTAAATATATAGTATCAGAAATATCATGCACTTGAACTTGTCCAAAATTGCGAGACCATTCCTATTGCTTGCTTGTTGTGCAGTAATGGTTCTCAATGCAAAGTTTCTTTATCGACGTTCTGCCCCCCTCCCCTCTCCCTGAACAATAATAGTAAAAGAATCCTCTAAAATAACTCTTATTTGGTGTGTTAATCCAGATTTGAAGGACAGATCTCCAGCAAAAACATTGAGATTGGAATTATTGGAACAGACAAAGTATTCAGGCAAGTGTCTTCTTGTCTTTACAGTTTTTAACATGAGTTCACTCTGTTAGCCGGTTACTAAAACGGTCGTTCATCTCATTGCAGAATTCTCACTCCAACTGAAATAGATGATTACCTACAGGAAGTAGAATAGATTTTCCTTTCAGCCAAAAAGGAATTGGAAGTAGTTGTTGGACAGGAAGCGCAGCTAGGGGCATAGCACAAGCTCAACTATGGGAGGTTCTTGCTGGTTTGGGTATAATTTGATGTTTAATCAAAAACTAAACTTGGTTGTATGTATTTTGGTCATGCTATGGTGTTATTTATGCTCTGATCTGAAAAGCTTAATATGGGCTTTTCTCAGTTTCTTAAATTCACATATTGTTCAAGTATTACCTTAAAACACACATCAAAAAGAGAAAAATTACATTCATGAACTGCATGTTTAGTTTGTTTTCACAATTACCAGCCTAATAGTATCTATATCTTCAAATTTTACTTTAATTTATACCATTTACCTAAAAACATAGTGAAATTTTACGTTAAGCAAAGATTCATTAGTGTTTACTGAAATTTATACCGTGTGATTTAATAGTCTAGACTAGGTTTTTTTAAAAAATTGATATTAGCCAACTTTACCTTGACGATAGCAACAAAATACCAATTTGGGATGTATAAAAGACTAGAACCAATTTGGGATTTTTATTAAGAGATAAAATAAAATTTGATAGCAAATCGAAACAATGTCCTTAGATCCTATTCTCAAGCTTATCACGTCTACAAAGAGGATTTTCCGTAGCCAAAGTGACACGACCAGAAGACTTGTAATCGAAAGTACATGCATGTTCTTCAGGATACTTATGAACACTACAAAACATTCCTTTACATCGACAACTAAACCCTATTAATCCTACTTTCTTCTTGCAAGTCATGCATCTTTGCTTAATATTCTCGGTTGTACCTTTAGAATCATCTTGACAAGTAAGAGATGATATCTTCACCGATAAAACCGCGACATTCTTGGCTTCTTCTTCTTTCAGAAAAGCTTTGTAGCATTGAGAACAAAGATTGTTATTGCTTGAAGTTCCATAAAAACCACAACCCTTTGCACATAGAATTGGATTTTCTACTTTGCCACAAGAAGTCATCTTTCTTGTACAAATATTTCTTTTTAGAAGAGCAAATTATTTAGCAGTAATGGTGATTTTGTTTTAGTTGATGAGTGATGTTCATGGTTTTGATGGTAATATATAGAGAGGACAAATTAAGATACTATTTTTCCTAATAGAAATCAAATTAGGAAAATAGCGGCTCTTTTTTTTTCCCCTATTCCGTTTTGGTTTAGGAATATAATCTTCCTTTCTAATATTCCTTCCGGAACACTTTATTTGTCATCCTTACTAAAAATAAATAGTTAATGTATGATATTTTTTTTAAAAAAAAATTAAGATATCATTAATTATTTATTTTCAATTTAACCCTTAATCATATATAAATATGAAAAGATATTAATAAGCGTGTAAAACAAAAAAAAACACAAGTAAAATAGATTTAAATGTATTAGCAAGTATGTATAAATAGACAATATATATCTTGTTGATTTAGTAATCAATTTAACATGTTTGCAAATAAAAAATGGATAAATCAAGCCAATATATATAATCAAATTGAACCAACAATGCACACACCTATAGGAGCATCAATGAAGAACACACCCTTATCAGTAACTGCTGACTATACGTACAATATACTTTTAAATTTTTTATAAAACAAGCAGCTCTCGTAGCTCAGTTGGTTAGAGCACCCGTTTAGTAAGCGGGAGGTCTTGAGTTCGACTCTCAACGAGAGCAAAATACCTTTTTGTTTGTTTGTGTGATTTTCTTTCTTTACATAAATTTTTTTTATGTTATTATCACATACTTTTTCATTTTCGAATACAACTCCTAACTAAGCAACAAATAAAATAGCACAGTCTACCTTGTTTATGATAGGTCATTGGCTCGAGATACAACTCTCGACTAGCTAACAAAAAAAATAACACACTCTACCTTGTTTATGATAGATCATTGACTCGAGATACAACTCTTGACTAACCAATAAATAAAAGGTCATAACACCACACTCTACCTTGTTTATGATAGGTCATTGACTCGAGATACAACTCTTGATAACCAATAAATAAAAGGTAACACACACTACCTTGTTTATGATAGACGCCCTTGACTCAAGATACAACTCCCAAACTAGCCAACAAATAAAATAGCACATTCTACCTCGTTTATGATAGATCATTGGCTTTATATACAACTTTTGACTAGCCAACACATAAAATAACACACACTCTACCTTGTTTATGACAATACGCCCTTGACTCAAGATACAACTACTAAGTAGCCAACAAAAAAAAAAAAAATCTAAGCAACTTTGATTAGAGGTCGCTCTCCTAGGTCAGTGACAAAATGCATTATTGCCATATCATATGGCGACATAGATAGTGACCAAGCCTAAGCAAAGTTGTTGGTGAGAAATGAAATCTCATGTTGATGGGTCACTTACAACCAGTGTTTTCAAAGACGTTTTAGGGGCGGCAAGTACCTCAAGTGTTTTCAAAGGCGCTTTTGGGGCGAGCCTCCGATATTTTTCTCATAAACTTTGAATGTTTTCGGTAGGTTTTTCATTACAACACATATTCGGTGTAATTTCACAAATTGAATCTCTGTATGTTCAGGATTATGAAAATATTCATATTTTTTGCTGACCAAAAAGAACACAAACTATGGTCATCACAATCCAATGTACTAAAGTTTAAACCTTCATGCATCCACTTAGTGCATAGATAGTCATCATCAACAGCTTGAAGCTTCGAATAATATATAACTAGGAGCACAGTAAAGAAAGTCTCAACTCTCAAGTCACCATTTTCACCTAGCTGGAGTGAAAAAAACATGTTATCTAGAGAAAGATAAGTTACAAAATTACTCCAGATTTTAAGCAGCTAGATACAAGTTCTTGAGCAACGACCATGCGTGGAACTAACATCTCTAATGCATCTTCAAAGTAGCAGACTGGTATTCATATGAATACGCTAATCAAAATATATATGCATGTATATGGCTTGCATAAAGATCCCCGCATTAGATTGCAGAGCATGCCACCAAACCTCCATCTACAAGCAATTATCTGATCATCAAGAACACAGTAATTAGCTGACCACCATTCAAAAGAAAAGAGAAAAAGGCAGCAGAAACGGAAAAAACACGGTCTCTTATGCACACCGATTAACTTCATAATTAATGTTCTATAGATCATTCAGAAGTGCCCATTAGCTAGTTTAACACGGACATGATTCGGAAAGATAGACACAATTCAATTCATAGTGAGTGAGTTTACATGAGCAACTTCTATAAGATATCGCAGAAAATGAATTGCTCTGCATCAACTCTCTCACTTAGACATGATTAACATTTATTCAGCAAAAACAATCAAGTTTATAACCACGGGAGAAGCCCCAGTCCACATCTCCTTGATTAGTCGAAGCCCTTCCAATCATTGTCAACTTCACTCCATTGTTTCTAGCACAATGAAAGATTGAAGTGAGGCCACTAGCTCCTAGAAATCCTTAATTCCCTGTGCCTTAAGATTTATTCAGGTTCCGATTAGCTATGAAAAAGATATCCACAAATTGCATGTCCAAGGGAGAGTTATGATAATGGAGAAACAAGATTTGAGGTACACTGACTCAACGAGTCAAAATTTCCCCTCCCCTCAGAAACTCTGAACAACGAAGATCAAAGTAAATTCAAGGAACCTCAGAAAACCAGATACAATGAATTAACAGCTGCTAGAAAGATTATACCATCAATACCCAATAATTCACAAATCTAACAAAGACGGTATGTAACTACGCATAGTTAATACCAATCAACAATGCCTCAATCCCAAACTAGATTGGAAGTTAAACCCTCCTTCAACATTCAAAGACTACACACATGGATACATACTGTGTTGCTCGAATACTCCAAGAATGCAGTACTTTTGGAGGATCTCGGCATTTTTGGGTTGTTACAGCGACATAGGATACATGCACAGGCACTTATATGAATCTAAATCACATTGAATGAAGAAAAAACACAAAAAAAGAGTCGCTCACCATCTTCTAAGCTGTGTTTTAGAGCGTTTAAGCTTTTCAAGGTGCACTTGTGACTCCATAATTAGCTTCATTCTCTGTATCTCTAAGTCCTTTGCAAATTGCATTCTTTGCTTCTCCAACTCAATCATCTGCCTCTGTTTTGCCATTTCTACTCTTTCATATATCTCCGAAAATTTTCCTATTGACTCAGCTAGCATCTTATAACCCTCTACCAACCCCCCACTCTTCTTTCTCTTGATTCTACAAGTAGCAATGGCCATAGCTGATGCTGCCACACTCGACGTCTCCGATTCCTCTTTCTCTTCGTCTGAATCATCAGAGGCAGCCGCTGCTGCTGCTGCCATGGCCGAGAAATTTCTTCGGGACACCTTGTAGTCTATGGCTGCAGCTGGACGCTTCGATCGGGGACCAACTGGAATGCCCAACAGTGGCGGAGGAGGCACTGGTGGCGTTCTCCATTGAAAAGGTAGCATTTCCGGCGGTGGCGATCTCCATTGAAGAGGTGACATTTCCGGCGGTGGCGCTCTCCATTGTGGAGGTGACGTTGCCTGCGTAGGCGGCATTCTCCGTTGAGGAGGTAACGTTGTCGCCGGCGGTGGTGGAGAAGCTTTCGCGGTGACTCCAATGAGAACGTTGAGGCTGCTGAAGAAAGGCCAAGCGGAGATATAACGACCGGGGGATTGAGATACTTTAGCCCTCTCAATCTTATACTTCTTCTTCAAGGTGTCAATACGGTTTTTGCACTGTATATCCGTACGATACTGCTTTTTGATATGGCCGTGCTGTGCGTTGACAGCATCGGCGACTTCCTCCCAGTGCTGATGCCTGAGATTTCCCCGGTTGAGCTCCAAATACCTGGAACCCCATGCCTCTATCAACGTATGAGTCGCTGCCTCTGACCAGCAATCTTCTCGAGCTGGAAAAACCGGCGTCCGAGCTGACATCGACGCTGGCGTCAGCATCGGAGGTGGAGGCAGTGCTAGTAGCTTGTTGTCTCTACCCGGCAGCGGAGACCGGGAATGCGACGGAGATGGAGAGTTGTGATTGGAGAAGGGAGGAGCTAAGTGATCGTCGTCGGACATGGTACCGGAATGTGAAACGACGGCAGCGTCGGCGGCGGAGGGATGAAAAATAGTGGAGGAATTAGGGTTAGAAGAAGTGATCAGTGAGGGGTTATCAGTATGGTTGTGTCGACGGAACATTGGGCGCCGACGAAGGTGGGGTGTAGTAGACTGTAGTGGTACGTAAGGGACTGTTTGGATTTTCAGATTTTGAGCTAATGGGCTTTGCTAGAACTCTCTTTTGGAGGGAAAGAGAAAATCAAAACAATTTAATACTTTTTTGTGGAAATAATAATTCAAATTCTATGAGTTCTAGATATCAAAAAATTCTACATAAAGAGGCTATCCTCCGAATAAGGCCTGTTTGGTGTGAATTCAAATTAATTGACTCTAATATAAATATCAAACATTGAATAAGAAATAATAAAAAGTTTAAATTCTCACTGATTGAATAAGAAATAATAAAAAGTTTAAATTCTCACTGAAATAAAGAAGTGATTTTTCACTTAGCATCCAGTTTATTTTACCCACATGATTTTACGTTCATTTAATCATGTAGTACTTGATTAGTAGAAGTAGTAATCTGTTTTTTTACATTCATTTGATCATAATGGTTGATTAGTATTTAGTAGTAGTAGACTAGTAGTAGTAATATGTTTTTGGATCAATGTTGTACAGATATCTAAGAATAATTTACTAATATCATTTGATTTGAGGTGTAAAACTAAAACAATAGTGGTTTATGTTTCGGCACGAATGATATTTCACTCTATTTTAATTTACGTGATACTATTTGATTAGACATAAATTTAAAAGTTAAACGGGACAGGTTTATGTTTGTTTGTCTACTTGGGGTTGGTACAGATTTACGTAAACAATTATATTGGATATTGACTTTGTATATTGTATCACCACAAGTGCACCAATATCGTATTCC